ACTCACCCCTCAGATGGCCCTCTGGATGGAAGCTGGGATGGCTGGCGGAGGCGCTAGCAGGGTGGAGCCAGCAGAGCAGGCTGACCTGGGAGTCTATGGGGTCGGGGAAAGTCCTAGCTCCTCCTCTCCGGGCCCCTGCCGCGGGCCCGAAGCAAACTCACCCCTCCGATGGCCCTCTGGATGGCAGCTGGAATGGCTGGCGGGGACCCAGACTCATTCTTTGTTGTTGTTGTTGTTTGTGTTTTTATATTTTGAGACAGGGTTTCTCTGGGCAGCTCCTGCTGTCCTGGAACTCACTCTGTAGACCATCGCTGCATCTTCGTCCCCAGAGTACTTGGCCCAAGATTGCTTTTTCTTTTCCCTTGGCCTCCTTTTCCAAACTCAGCTCTTAATTATGTAGAACAGTTTCATCTTCCCTACCCATTGTCCATTCTTTGAATTCTCTGTAGAAGGACAGCCAGGAGCTGACCCGGACAGCTAGAGGCCGTGCTGCTGAGAAGAGCAGAGGGAAGAGGGGAAGCTGGGGCTGGAGGAAGGGAAGATGCTACAAAGTCCTGCATTCGCTATTCTTTGAAAAGTTACAAATTTATAATCTGGGTGCCTGTTTTAGACCCCATTTTATCCCTATTCGTATTGCTTGTAATGCTTGGTTGTCTTGTCCATCAGTGTCAATGTTGGCGTCTTTTTTAGGCATTAGATGGCGATATTTGATTGGTGTACACTTGGTGCCAGCCACTGTCTTAGGTGCTTTGTGTGTCTGAATTCACTGCACCGTCAGAGCAACCTATGATATGGTCAAATCACACAGAAACTAAGTCACCTCTATCAGGCCCCACAGCTAATAAGAACCAAGTGAGACTGAACCCAGGCATGTAGCTTTAGGGGTTAACATGCTACCTGTCCTATGAAAGAGTAGATTTTGCCTTAATTACTAGTGTTTTAAACCTTTACTTTAAAAATAGCCTGATATGGTGGTGCATTTTGTCTCAGCACCATGAAGGAGGAGGAAGGGAAACATATCAATAATTCGATGCCAGTTTCAGTTAGATGGGAAAAAAATTATGGGTTAATAATCTGTCATTCTAGGTTTTCCACTTGCTTTGAATTACTGGTGTAATAATTGGTCTGTTGACCCCGTTTGGGGCTCTTTTTGAAGATCTTGGAGGTGATTTGGTTTGGGATACATCTGTCTTTTCCCCCCTACTTTCTCAGAAAGAAAGATCATGTATATTTTAGGTGGGTAGATGGTTTTGTTCCTGATGACTGAAAAACATTAATTTTATAGAGCACGAAGCCGTAAGCAAAGCACACGTGGGAAAACAAGATTAAGCAGCGAGTGACAGCTGTCCACTTAGCTGTGTGTGCGTTTGCAGAGTGACACTTTCCAATGAATGAGGCTCAGTAGATAGAAAGCGAAAGAGGCCATGATCAGTGCTTCCCGAAACTGCGCATGTGCGAGTACGTTCCCCTGTGCTTCCTACGCCGCTTGCTGCCTTCGAACTCTTTTGTGGTGCAACAAGGCATGGCGACTGTCTAGCTCCTGAGCTGCTTCAGATCTGCCTACATTTTCCCGAGAGCCTGGGTTCTGCTTCACAGTCCTCGACAATGCGCCCATGTTAACTACTCAGAGGCGGCGTAGGGTAGCATCTACTTACCTTCCCTGAGTAGACTCTTAAACTAGGGCCGAGGGGCTGAAGAGAGAGCTCTCCCTGAGGATTCAGGGTCCGGTCCTCATCACCTACACTGTGCTTTACAACCATCTATGATTTCAGTTCCATGGGATCCGACAACTTCTGACCTCTATAGGTCCCGAGCATATATATGGTACATCACACCGGTGCAGGCAAACACTCATACACGTAAGATAAAATAAAAATTAAAAGCAAAACAACAAAAAAATAAATCAAAAACATAAAACCAAACAAACCAAAGACATTTTTTTTTAAAAAAAAATTAGGATTGGTATGACAGAGAAACCCAAGTTGAGACCTGGAAGAGAGCTGAGACACTGTGGGTGAGCATTGTCTAACAGACCAGGAAGTGAGGCAGAAGACGAAACAAGAGCTTGTCTACGTTCACCCTCCTACTTATTAGAAGGTCAGGCCTGTTGAGTCTCTGGCCTCCTCATCTCCTTTTCCCGCTCAGCTGATTATGTGCGACCTGGCTGGATTCTGCTACCCAGATTTCTTTGCGACACCTTCCACATTGAGCCTGAAACGAAGGACAGGCTGGGCCACAAAAGGTAAACACGAAACTGCTGCTGACGTGTTGGGTCAGGATTCACCAATGTTTATTTTGGGTAGGGTGCCAAACAGTGATGCCTGGAAAAACACTGCCAGAGAACACAGCTTGTGTCAGCCAGGAACACCCACGCCCACTGCCATATGACCAGGGGAGCCGGTGTCTTGGGGAATCCTTGGTAATTTCGGAGCTACTCAGGAACCCCCAAAGTGTCCTGATTAAGGGGCAGACTCAGAAGTGAGATAGAACAGTCTTTAAAAGCCGGCTTCACTACTTTCTTGCTGCCTGGGCAATATACGCTCTTACTATTTTTTCTTTTTTGTTTTTGTTTTGAGACCAGATTTTACATGGTAGCCCAGGGTGTTCCATGTAGCCTACATTGGCCTCAGATTCATGGCAATCTTGTTTTAGTCTCTGGAGTGCTGGGAATGCAGACTTGAGTCTCCATCCTGACCTTTGCATTCTCTTCCTTCCCTGTGTCTTCATCTGTCAAATGACTGACTTTTGTGGAGTTAGTGTTAGAATCAAGTGAGGTGATTCACACACAGTGCTTACCACTAGGGCTAGCGGGTGTCACTGGTAAGCACCTGGTGATGTAAGAGAAAACCGATGGACAAAAGGTGCCAAGCATTGCTCTCGCCATCATAGCAACCATTAAGGTGGAAACACCTGTCATAATTTTTAGAATTCTGCAATCTATTCAGAACAAACAAAAATCCCAGCTATCAGGGCAAAGATGCCAACGTTTGGCATTTAATGAACTCTGTAAGGTCGCTGGTTAACTGCTGAGAGTTGGGAAAAGAAATTCAGTGACCACACAAGAAGGGCAGTTTGCAGATATAGAGTCAACAATAGCAAACGCCAGTTGTTCATTTTGGAGAATCGGGTTCCCAGGGTCAACAATAGCAGACGGCAGTTGTTCGGCAGTTGTTCGTGTGAGAGAATCAGATTTCCAGGGGCACCGCACTGTAACATTCGGAATATCCAATTTGCAACAAAAGTTTACAAAAGATACAAAATGACGGAAAGGTATGGTCAAGTCAAAGGAAAAAGAAAGGCAGACATTATTCCCAAAGAAGGCCCAGCCACTGGGCCTAAGAAGCAGAGATTTGAAGCTAACCATTACACTCAAAATGGATAAAAAGAAACTGTGACAAAAAACTAAAATCAGGGAATTTATTTCTGAACAGAGGATATGGGCGGGTAGAGAGAAATTATAGTAAGAAGCAAAATAGAAATTTTTGAGCTAAAAAGTGCAATAGGAAAAGTAAAAACTTGGAGGTTTAGCCGCAGACTTGAAGAGGCAGAATTGACGAGCTTGAAGACGGGTCCGTTGAGACGGTCTAGTTTGAGGAGCAGGAAGAAAAAGAATAAAGGAAGCGAGAGGCCTGTGGGGGCAAGTGCGCTGGCACACATGCAGCTGGAGTTCCAGGAGAGGAGAAAGTTGAACGAAGCAAGAAATCAGGGCTGAAAACCACCAAAGTTGGTGAAAGACACGGATGTTCGTCTCCAGTCAGAAAACAACAAACTGCAGGGAATTCAAAGACACACACAGGGATGTCTTGTGATGACGGCTACTATTGACTCTCTAGTCACTGTTTCTGCCATGAACAACACTGTCGTCAGTGCACACTCGGTGAGCCGGGGGTGACTTTTATTTTGTATCTCAGCCAGTTTAAGGGCGGGGCCCACTCAAAACTTTGTGACTAAGTGGGAAACCAGGCAGGTGGAGCACTTCTGTATTCCAGCCCTGCCTTTCACCATCTGTGACCTCTCTCTTCGTTCCTGCCTCCCTCCCTTCTGACTGGATTTTGCTGTGCTTCCCTGACCATCCTTGAACTTACTAGGAGAGCAGCCTGGCCCCACACTTACTGGTAGTCCCTGGCCTCTGCCTCCTGAGTGCTGGGGTTATGGGGACTGCTGCCGGGCCCAGCTCTAGCTCTGTGATTAGGGCTGCCTTCAGAAGTTCTCTGACCAGGCAGGTTTCTGGCTAGCATGTTTCTGTGACACTGGCCCATGTAGCACGTGTGAAAGCAGCCACCAGAATCAGCACATAGAAGAGAATAATGATCTGAGGGAAATCTCGTCGTCTTGTGTGTTGGTTAGTTTTCTGTCAACTTGATCCAGACCAGGGTCATCTGGGAAGAGAGAACTCAAATTGAGAAAAATGCCTCCTTTAGATTGGCCTGTATGCCTACAACTCTGTGGAACATTTTTTTTTTTT